GACGAACGCAGGTCGACCGCATCGCTATAAGCCACAAATGGTGGGGCTGTATACAAGACTGCCGAGCGTACTGGAGTATTCCCCTCGATTGCGATCACGCATAAGTATGCGCCAAGATGTCCACGTGCTTTGGTGGGCGTTCTAAACGCACGACATAACGACGGTTAGACTGCAATAATTCGTCTCAACCGGCACGCCTAACTGCCTTCCAGAATGCGCTAGCTGAAAAGCCGTAACCAACCCAACCCGATGACATAAACCAACACCGGTCATTTATCAAGAATGCTCTGCATTCTTCTGGCTTAATTATGATCTGACACATCGTTCCGTGACACCCCGGATTTCTGCGAACTCTCTACGCCTTCTTGACACACGTCGATCAATCCCGACCGGCAGCGAGCGTAATGAAACACACCTCGTAACGAAACGTAAATTTAACGCAAGTCTATGCAGAGACCGCGAAATCTGGTGGAGTCAATGCGCATCAGAGATAGAGCGCGCTACCGCCTTGGGAAATTTCCGCAAGTCGTTCCATCTCATCCAGGTCACCGGTAGGAAAGCCTTGGGTGTGAGCGAAACGGTATGCGAAGCTGACTGCTCGCTTATTCACAATCAACAGCGGCATCTTACGCACCTGGCGGAGCACTTCAAGGCGCAGTTTAGCTGGCCTCCAACGTCAGCTACTCCAACACACGTCCCATGGTGCCTCAACAGACTCACCTGAGGCGGAAATCTGAAATCCGAGTGCTGCTAGGGACGTCTCTCGTACCAAACTCCCAAGGAACTTCATGATCATAATCACGATCATGTCTGGAGTCGGCTTATCCTTTCCAAGGAAGCAGCCGCAGGAAAGTAAGTAAGAAATCTGCAAGGAGCTTCAATCCTTGGGACGTCACAAAGCGTTGGGCTGCAACGGCCTTCCTCCAGTTTATCTAAAGTTTTTGGAACGAAGCTTGTTAGGGAGTTGGCGACTGTGTTGTCTCAAGTCTGGCACACTTCGTGGGAGGAATCGATTGTTGTACCGATCTTTGGAGAGCCCACCAATCATAGGGGTATAAGCCTTATCCCAAAAATGTCAAAGCTGTTATCGTCCGTCGTAGATTGTGCCCGTGAGGAGAAGCCTGGGTTTCCCGCCGATTGTGGACACCGACTGAATCTTTACCCCCCGGTAGTTGCTAGAGTACCGTCACGCTCACCATAGACCAACGATCATTGTATTCCTAGACATTCAATCGGTTTTCGACTATAGGTGGGACCGCACTATGGAACTGTTTGTTGAGGAATGGAGTACCTGAAAGATGTGTCGATCCTCAAAGAGTTGTATCTTCATACATTAGGTCGTGTTAAGGCTTATGGCCAGCTTTCACCACCCTTTGCCTTCTGCAGTGTAGTGCGACAAGATTACCCTATATTCTCATTCCTCTTCAACTTTGCCATTGAGGATGT